CTGGAATTACTCATTGATACTATGGACTCCGGACAAGGTGTGCTGATCTATGTCTCCCCAACGACACTACTATGACGAAAAACCAGTTCCAATCAATTATATACAACGAAAAGAGACATAAACCATACTAAAGGCCACACTTCCTTAGTCTTGCTGCCTCGATAAATCACTTAAGCCTGATTATACACTCTATCTTTTTTACTTTCAACAGGGAGGGCTGCGAATATGCCTTGGAGATCAAGAAAATCGCGATGGAGGACACAGGCAAGTATGCCTGCAAATGTAACGAGACTACTACTGCTTGCTTCCTGGCCGTAGATGAACGCAAGCAGCTCTATCATTTCAACCAGAAGCTTCCACGCACTGCCGAGGTGCAACGTGGAAAAGACCTTACAGTGGAGTGCTCGGTCTCTGATCCAAGAGCCAAGGTTGAATGGTTTCACAAAGGCGAGAAGATTGAGGTGAGTCTTCCAGAGTTTGGAGAACTAATTATCTGCCATTTAAGGACGATCTCCATTAGAATATATCACAATACTGGCGTTGTTAACTTATATATAGATTAATACCAGCAAACACATAAACATGCATACAAACATCCCCAGTTGAGTTCCCAAATGTGCCCGTGATCTGCTGTATAGTGTACACAATCGTCGTACTTGAATATGACATTATAGTACTCAAGCTACATGAGTAAATTTTAGAATTTATGGAATATGAAAATACAGTTAGTAAATCGGGCAAGTTCTTCCAAGGCAATGTAGATAGAAAAGCCTCTTCGACTCCAATACTAAGTTAACCGTAATAGATGTCGAAGGGTTTTGTTACTATTTTTGCCTATTTAGTTATTTGGTCTCTTCTTTTTACATTTGATTAACTTACTTTTTAGTATATTGCCAAAAACTGTATAACAAATATACTGAGAAAGCCAGTTAAAATGTATGTGACGAGGTAAATTAACTAGGAGAGCAAATGTTTTGGAGTTTCTTTGCGCTATTTATGATGAAATTAACTATGTAGCAGTGGTATGCTGATGATATTTATTAAATCAGTAAGAGTTAAAAACAACTATCTGTCAGCAAAAAGATTTGC